CACCGAGTGACACCGAGTGACACCGAGTGACACCGAGTGACGGGGCGGGGCGCACCGCGCCTGCACTCGCGCCTCCGACTTCACCTCCCCTCGGACCGGAACACAACGCCGAGAACACTGCAGTATTTTTATAATGTTTTTATTTTAATTTTCTTCGAGCGATCGACGGTTCTAGCAGCCGGGATCGGCAGAAGCCGGCTACGTTTCGTACAATTGGATTTACCAGGACCTTGCGCTCACCGCCGGTCGCCCGAAATCAGACTGTTAAATTTCCCTGCCATTTTCGGGGCGTCGTTTTACTTTTGTCCTTGTTTTCAAAGCCCAGCGGGAAAGTGTAGAAAATGGACTTATTTCCTTCCTTACGACCATACAAGTAGCGATTGAATTCGCGTGTTGCAATGTTATGCCCCAGATTTCGGATAGAAACCTGTCGGTAAAATCCTCTTTGGTTGGATGTTTGTGTAAAGCTGTACGTGTACGTCTGTTGAAGTCCCCGTTTGTCCTGAAAATACTTGGAGAAAAAGACTTGTGATCTTGGAATCGTGCCATAGTGTTTGAAAGAGGGATTTGTTGAGTGAGTCGGAGGACGGGTGTTATGGCATCCGACGGGGCCGCTAAGAGGGCTTCCCTATTTGTACATTGCTTGACATTTTAACTGTACCATATTGTATCATAAGATTTTGCCATATATTTAATCATAGGAACGAATTCAAAAACTTGCTGAAAGGGATTGCGCAGTAGGTGATCTAATATCATAACTCATCTCTCTCTACTATTGACTTAGAAGCTGAACTTGCATTTCAATCATAGAACATAGAAAATGCTGTAATGTTTGCCCGTCATCGATTAAATAGTTCCCAACAAATTGCAGTGAGCGTAGATGAGCAAGTCTGCGGACATGTTATGGACTGCTTGTACCTGCAATGTGGACCCAGTCCCCACATTCCCCACCCCTTTTTAACGCACTTACTAAAAGGCACTGCCATAGAATAACAGACCACATTTTCAACCGATTTTTAGAAATATGTTGAATTTTAAATTTTGATCACCTGGGAAAAAATGAATTTGAAAAGACTAGTTGCAACGAGAAATAAATAGGTTTCATCGAAAACTGTTGTTGCTATTGTTGTTAAAACTCGAACTATATGCCCTCCTGGTAATTTCAGAAGTCATTCCAGATTATGTGAAAACATCGTCTAGCACGTGATTTTATCTGACCGCACTTCCATTCAATTTGAATTGGACACCTACCATGTCTTCATTAGTCCACCTTGGCATAATTAATGTCCCTGATATCTAACATTCATAAATAGTATGTAGAAGAGAAAACTTTTTATATGTAAAATTAATTTACTATGTCTATGACTGTCCTCAAATAACTAAGTGTAAATAAATGACGTCAACAACATCGCTGTTTGTATTCTTTTCATCCTGTATACATTTGTTTTTTCTTGAAATTTTACAGCCAAGGGTCCTGCAACACAAATATTCACTAGTACGAGGAAGGGAGTCGAGAGAGCTCTTTCATTTTCTGCAGTCGATTCCAGGCTCAGAGCTTTACGACGAGTGCCTATAATTACTGCCCGAAAGCCGAGGACAGACTACGTAGATCAAAAGACGCTCAAAGTCACAAATCATCGGCCACGTACAATACAAACAAAGGAAATAAAGAGCAAAGGAAAGTCCTTTCAGCGGGGTTTAGCGCCAACACAGACCACAGATGCGAGGGATGGGTGACTTTTCCAAAGATTCAGAGGGATCTCTTACCTAATTATGTGTTGTCACAAAATCTATTTTCGACGGAGAAAAACCAAAACACTGGCGCCGTAAATTAATTTTTCACGCCCTTCTAACTTCCGTTTGTAGCCACACAGTTGTAGCTACAACCGACACGGCCACAGGCAGTTTTATCAGAACCGCCTGTTGAAATAAGCTGAGGCTGAGCGTGTTAAAGCGTGTTCGTAGGCATACTGTGGGGAGAGTCGGCAGTTCGAATCCCATTCCGCGATCATTTTTCCTCCTCAGCTGGCCAAGTGTCTTCGGGCGTCAGTCAGAGCTGAGATCTGGATGCCGCCGAGAGCATTCGTGACTATCGTTCTTTCGTGGCCAAGTCGGCAGCGTCCGGGCGCGGTGTGAGCCTGGTCGCTGGTTCGAATCGAATCCCGCCCGGTGATATTTTTCGCGCTCCGCTGGCCATGACTTTACAGCCGTGGGACACCTGATGTGATGGGGCCGGTACACAAACAGTCGGTGATTCGAATCTAGACGACGGAACCCTTTTGCCCCTCTGCCAGCCATATGTTTCGGGGTGTGAGCCACAGCGGAGATAAGCTTCACCTCTGCAGAGGCCTCAGTGGGTCAGTTGGTAGAGCGCACGCTCGGGACGAGGATGGTCGTGGGTTCGAATACTGGTCGAGGCTCATTTTTTCCCATTTAGTAGTTTGCGGCGCGGGGACCAAGGGTTAGGACAAAAGACCGGCCGACATGGGAGGAGGTGGACTTGACAGCCCACTCAGAAGAGCCCCCCCGCCCCCGCCCCCTTGCCAAAAAAAAAATCACCTCGTCTAGGACTCGAACCCAAAGCCGACGGTGGCTAATACACCACGCCCTAGCGCGCTCGCAACTTGGCTGTCGGCTCCACTTGCCAGCGGAGGGTTCAGAACTCGGTCCGTATTTACGAGTCTTGGTCTCCCGGATTGCACGCGTTCAGGTC